GCTCTTGACTGTCCCCCAGTGAGCAATTCCCCAGGAGGGGCTTAAAAAAAGGGAAAGATACTGACAAATTATTTTTGGTTTAAGGAAGGGATGGTTGGTCTAGATCAGAGTAGCTTTCTTTATTGAGAACTTTGTGCATGAATTTATCATCATAGCATTGCATTATTTATTGTTATTGACATAAAAATAGAGGACATGGGTAGTTTAAAAGAGAACATAGTCTCTTAACATTGTACTATGTCGTTGATTTAAATATCTATCAAATGTTTAAAAGAGTTCCTGTGTGACTAGAAAAATATCCTGTTCTGTGTTTGATGCTCGGGGGCCAAGCATCCTCCACCCAGATCCTCCAAATTCCATTAGGCGGGGGTCACACCCACCAATTGGCCCCCTGGCGCCGTGTAATCCCATCAGCAGCCAAGACTCAGAGACTATAAAAACCAGCTCCCGGAAGATAACAGTGCAGTCTCCTGCCCCCTGCGCCTGGCTGTCCTTGTCGGGCCCCTTGGAGGGGAGCGGGTTGAGCTTTCCTCCCCGCCCCGACCAGGGCTCTGGCAGCCGAAGACCTCCAGGATCAGCCACCCCCATGCAGAGACCACTCTCCGCACACATGAAGGTACTAGCAGAGAGACAAAGTCACGCGGGTTCAGGGGCCGAGATCTCCAAGCCTACTCGGATTTGGGCCGAGCATCCTCCACCCAGATTCTCCAAATTCCAGTAGGCGGGGGTCACACCCACCAACTGGCCCCCTGGCGCCGTGTAATCCCATCAGTGGCCAAGACTCAGAGACTATAAAAACCAGCTCCCGGAACCGCGTGGCCATGACATCTTATTATGACATTTCATTATCTCATTCCTACTTTGGACAAACTGGCAGGCTACCGAATGTAGCCTGCCCACACGGCAGAGTCTGGCAAACTCCCCGTGGCGTACCCAATATGCCAAATACCAGTAACAATGATGGGTCTCATTCTCCTAAAGAGCCTTGAATATAATTTCAGGGCTAGGATGAAGGAGACGTTACTGGGGCCTGCTCACGGCAATCGACGACTAACAGGATGATTTGTGATTTGTTTGATTTGTGTTCGATAGTTATTAACTACAGAAGAATAGGTTCAGATTTCTTCTAAAAGTAGAGAATTTTCTGGGGGCATCAGAAGACGCTGGTATTTGTTAGCATTAGACTGGATGAACTCTTATGTAAATTCTAACCATAAGATTCCACCTTATTGGGAGATAGCATAATATTATGAATAGAAAAAATCCTGGCTAGAGAGATAGTACATTGGGTAAGATTTTTGCCTTGCACATAAGAATTGTGCTCAACCCCAGCACCATGTAGAGTCCCCTGAGTAGCTCTTGATGTTATTCCTGAGCACAGAGATAAGAGTAAAGCCTGAGCAATCTGGGTGTGCCCCCAAACAAGGCAAAAATGTTCATAACTATAGAAGCAAGTTAAATTAATGTGTTTAAATTTAAATGGTGTTCTCTTGAATACAAATTTAGTTTGTGATTCACATAAAGTTCCATTTTTTTCTGAGATGTTCTAGGTAGACCTCCTTCCATATATACTAAATTTCTGCCAAAATTGATATAACTTTTGTTGTTCTATGTCTGACATCTAGATATTTATCCACAGTAGACTGTATGTAGTCTGTTTGTTTCCAGAAGGAATATTTCTGTGACTCCTAACCAAAGTTTATTGAAACCAATGTTGGCAGTGGTTTTGGAATGAGAAAAGGATCAGATACTACCTGTGATCATGAAAACACTCCACTCTCTTTTCTATATCTTAATTGTTGTATTTAAAACACAAGGCTAAATGGACTGGGATAGGGTTGTGGATATATTGGCATTTTAGTGATAGAGTGTGGTAACATTGTGCTTCTAAGACATATAAACAGATATACAGTTTTAACTTCAATATTTTGTTATACCATTACACCAATATTATGTCAATAAAAAATAATATAGTAAAAAATAATAATATCACCTTTATAAAACAATTACAATAAATTAAATGGTGATATAAAGGTATAATACCATGCTAGGCAGATTCTCAAGAAAAAAATGTTTACAGTGAAATATGTTTGCATACAGAGTTGAATTTGTAATAAATAATTTGCCTGGTCTTTGTCTCTGGTTCCTGGGAGACAAACTATACCCTCTGAATTTCTTGAGTGTTTGGAATCTGTGTAAATTATGGTGGAAGTCCCGTCTGATGGTTTAGGTTAATGATATGACTATGACTCATAGTGGATCCCTAGGTAGTTCTGCTGATAATGCAGTATGGGAATTGGCCACTCAGGAAGACCAATCATATGATTAGAGTTGGGGCTCCAGACACATGGTATCACGCTAAGCTCTGGGAGAGGTGAGGCTTGAGATTAAGATCAACCATAAAACCAATGAATCCACGAGTAAATGAATCAATCAGAGATTGCAGATCTGTTCCTTAGTACTTAACCATAGCTTAACCATAGCCTCCATATTCAGAGAACCTACCCTGAGTGACAATGATCAGCATATTGTCATATATTGGTGTGCTGGCTAGCATGGTATCTCTGAGGATAAAGAAGGTTTGAGAAAATCCTCCCAATTTTGTTCTGTGTGCCTCATCCTTTACCTCATTCTGATTCATATTCTTTTGCTATTAAAAAAGTTATCATCTTAGGCATTGAGCTTTTCTGAGCTCTGTGAGTCATCCTAGTAAATGATCAAATCTGAAGGAGTCTGTGGGGATCTCCAAATTTATAACCAGTTCATCAGAAGCAATGGCAATCCTCAGGAGCCCTGAATATGTGACGGATATCTTAGCATTTATAGTCTTGTGGAAAGCTTAACCCGTGAAGTCTGACCTCATTCTGAGTTAAGTTGCTAAACTATCAGCATAACAAATTTACATTTACATCAGTTTGTATATATATGTATATGTATATATGTGTATGTATATATGTATATGTATATATGTATATGTATATATGTATATGTATGTATATGTATATGTATATGTATATATGTGTGTATATATGCATATATGTGTGTATATATGTATATAAAACCCTGCTCCCAGAAGCAGCAGTCTTATTATCTAGGTCTTACTCTGGAGAACCTGGAAGGCTACCAAAAGTATCCTGCCCACACGGCAGAGTCTGGCAAACTCCCTGTGGCGTATTCAATGTGCCAAAAACCAGTAACAATGATGGGTCTCATTCTCCTGACCCTGAAAGAGCCTCGAATGTGGCACTTTTTTAAAATCTCAGGGCTAAGACGAAGGAGATGTTACTGGAGCCTGCTCGAGGCAATCGATGACCAACAGGATGACAGTGATAAAGTGATATATGTATAAACATATACTACCTGTTTGTACATAAATACTAACAGGTAGTATATGTTTAACATGGCACTTCTAGAATATGTCAAATGGTTTGGTTCTAATTTTTCTCTAAATAAATTCTCAGAAACATTTCATTGAGTAATATAAAGAAAAGAAGGAATATATGTTTAAGATCTGGTTTTGTAGTTATAGGTTAGACTTTTCCAGGTTGTCTTATAAAATCCTAATATTATACTTCTTTCCTTATTTCTAAATAAAGAATATAACCATCAGAAAAATCAACAGCTTGCTACAGTTTCTACATGTTGTTATGACAGCTTGGATTTGAGCCCTTTGAGTGCTAGAGCCATGTCAAACATAATTCATTGTGGCATAGAGTTGGGGACATAGTGAGAAGTAAATACATACATAACTTTTAACTTCTGAATTTTCTTAGTTAACTAAACTAGACAAACAATTAAGAAAGGAGCAGGGTGTAATCTTGTTATCCATCAATCAAAGATTATAGATCTGTTTCCTGGTACTTAATCATTGCTATAATTTATCATTCTAATTTTATTTATTCCTAAATCTTCTGAATATGTCATGAGGATTTGGTGATTATTTTCTTTTTTTCACCCTGATATCTACTGTTTCCGGTGTTCAAGCAGTCAAGTGGATCCTTGGTGAGTATTTTTTTAATACTTAATCCAATTCAAAGGAGTTTCTCATTCATACAAGTTACTTTTTTCATACTTTTACAGTAGGTAATTTAATTTGTTCTGAGTAACTCTTTATATTACTTTTAAGATCACAATTATAAGTATAGTTGAGAGTAGAGAAGAATGAACTTCCAATGTTTCCCATAAAATAGGCAACAGTATTTTTTTAATGTAAGCTATATTAACATATTAGAAAGATAAGGAAAATCTGAATTTGAAAAAATAGCAAAAGGCATTTCACTATGATATATAATCATTATTGTCTTTCTGTTATTTCTACCAGCAATATAAGAGTGATCTTTTTTGTATTTATATGTGGAGTTTTCCGATTGATCTTTACTCCTGACCAAAACCTCTAAGGAGAAAAAATTTTCCAAGATCATTTGTTATTCAACTCATAATTTCTCTTTGGTTGCATAGATAAAACTTCTGGCAAATCATAAGGGAAAATGATCACCCAGATACCCCATCTCCTCTATTTAAGTAGAGCTTACCTTTTCTGAGGATTATCTACGCCAGCTATGAAGCATTATTGAATATAAACTCATTGAAAGACCTAATAAGCACATAATGACCACTTTGTTTTAAAATACACTAAAGAAAGACAGCAGACAGGGTCTCTTGAGAAGTGACATTCTGTAATTACCTCCTCCTATCAAAAGAAAAACAATTCCCAGAAATTAATGAATACAGCAAGAGTCTATTTCCTATCTTAATTCTATCTTAATTGCAAAAGTGGATCAATTAAAAAAAGGCTATGCTAGCAAAGCCCCTCTCCTAAGATTTTTCTCTCAATTCTTTAGTTTTCAAGTGTAAGCACATATATATACATATATATGCATGTACATGTGTGTGTTTCAGCTCATATATATCATATATTTGTGTGTATATGTATGTATACTTATATATATACATATACATGCATATACATATATAAAATCATGTCATGAACCTAGTTTTACCTTCTGTGAGGAGATATATCACCTGCACCAACAGTGCCCCTGTGAAACAGCCAAATCCATTGAACAGAGTCAGCAAATTCCTAGTGCTTCCTCTGATGGCTCTTGGAACAAATCTGTATATGACAGAGACTGAGAGAAAAAGAGAGGTGGGAATTTAGAATTTAGAATTTAGAACCTTCTCTCTAAAATACTTAGTTTTCCAAGTCAATGTTGGTTGTATTGCAAAACAACTTACCGTTGCTGCCAAAATTTGGGCTGGGTTTCATTATGTGGAAGTTACTTCAATGAGATATTTTATGATGTTGCAATTTGCAGATGTCTGCAAGGAGTAAAATGGGGATAAATGGACTCTGGTTCAACTGTGTCTGGTCTTGACTCTCCCCATAGAGTCACTGAAATTTTACCTCAGATAGATATTTCTGATAAATTTTTGATGTGGCCTGTGCTCAGTGATATGACAAGCCATCAATAGACCTATGATTCTGTGATTCTATACATCATTAAAAGTATTATGGGAAGCTCGCATTTATCAAATAAAATTAGCAAAAGAGGTTAAAAAATATCTCTGTAGTTAAAAACATTTATGATGCTCAAAAATCTAAGGTCATCAATTTTAATAATCTGTGGATTTTAATTGTTATTTAACTTTCTAGGTCTCAAAAATCCTTCTCTGTAAAAAGGGAATCACAGCATTTTGCATTTGCTGAGGGGATGTGAATGGTGCTTAATTATTATACATTAAAGTGCTTAGGATAATACTGACTTGTAGGAATGGAATACAGTCTTGCTATTAAACAGGCAGTGAGACTCCCCACAAAGCCTTTCATTGAGTGATCCAGTTAAAGGGGAGACCACACCTTTAGCTTGGGGATCATTTTGTCTTTTTCCCCAAAGTTGCTGTTAGACTCCCCATCATAAATTTTCATGGCATAGGTTGAAAGAAAAAAAAGGGAGGTATATTGATTTGAAATGTCCAAAATAATTTTTGGTCATTAGAAGGATGAAAATAAAATAAATTATTTTGTCTATATCCTCTTACCATAAACCTATTCAGTTATCTGTGAAAATCTTAGGGATATATGCTAAAATATTTATATTTTAATATAATATCCGGAGTTTGCTTCAAACTCACATAACACGGAGGAAGAGGCTCTGAGAATGAGGTGAGAGAGAAAGTTTGGACATGACTTGAAAACTGGCCAAGCGGGAATTATGCTAATCCTGCTTTTGTAATGTGTGTGGCACAAAATTATAAGGAAATGCATTAGACGGCAGGAACAATTTTAGCTTTGAATGGCTGAAGTTTTGAATTTTTAATTTTTCCTCTCCCTGCGCTTTTGTGCTGCACAAATTTCTCTACAATGAGAGATTAAATTTCATGTAACGCAAGTGGTGATAGAAAATTGATATACTGTGAACACTTAAACCTCTAGTTTCATTCTCTAGAAGAAGAAAGAGATCATATTCTCTCCTCCCTCCCCTCCAAGGAAAATTTCAGCCCTGGCTTATATGTATTTTGCCTCACTCAAACTCTGCATTTGCCCAGAATTTAAAATGAATACACAACTATGTGTGGTAAGCATATTCCCGTTCCTCCTCTCTTTTTTTTTTTTTGTTTGTTTGTTCCTGTTTTGGTTTTGTTTTTGGACCACACCTAGCTGTGCTCCAGGCTTGCTCCTGGCTCTGAGCTCAGGGATCATTCCTGGGGGCTCGTAGAACCCTATTGGGTGTCAGGGGTGCTGTGCTATGGCTCCAGCCCCTATGCAGTCATTTTTGCAGTTAACATTTCCCTTCTGAGTTCTGCAGATCTCCCGCATTCATCCGACTCTAGGTATGATGCAGAATGCAGGGGCAATAAGTAGGGAAGAGCAGGGGGGCGTAGTTCCTGGATTCTGATCTCTGGTGGGGGTGAGAAGTGGTAGTGCTAACTTAATACTTATGTTTAAGTTGGAGGTGAGGGTGATGGTGATGATAAATACTATGCGAAGGGACTCGAGTCTTAGTGGAAGGGGCCTGGCTGTCACAGCTGTCCTTTGCAGGACAGGTCACTCGCAGAGAACCACAGCTTCAAACCCACATATTCTTTTATTTTTCAGGACGATCCAAAGGCTAGTGTGAGAGAAGTGCTGAACCGGCTTTGGAAAGAAAGAATTCACAGTTACACAAAAGGTTTGGCTTCTGAGCTTCCCTCTCTATAAATATGAGGAGACAAACAATGGGCAAAAAGACTAAGTAGGCTGATTTCTTTCACAGAGAAAAAGCGCAGCGTACAAGCCCATTATTACTCTGCTAGTTAATTATTAATCCTATGCTTTTCTCCTGCTAAAACTTCTGGTGCGGTATATAATTCATGAACGCACTTGGCCAGCTCTCTGCCTGCTGGTTAATCTCTCTTTGGTGTCATTTTAGTAGTTTTTGAAAGCCTCCGGTTCCCTTTTAGAAGACTTAGCTTTTCAACTCTTTGAATCTCCATTTTCCAGTATCTACTGGCTTGTTCTGATTATTTTTGACTCCAGTGACCACCGACTTGATTTTTAAGGTGCCGGGATACTTCTTTTTCCCTGTTATGTATGGATATGATCAACAAGTCTGCCACTATTCTAAAATTCTTACTTTACTAAGAACACAGAGGGCAAAAGCTAAAACCACTCCCAGTGCATGTGCCAGCTGATTTTATTTATTTATTTTTTTGCCAAGGGCAGTGGAAATCTGCGGGGCAGCTGCTTAGTGTCTGCAAAGGTGAACAAACCTAGTGAATGTGAGTCTAGAAACCACAGGGTTGTTGCTACCTTCCAAAGGCCCTGCGCTCTCACTGCTTGAAACTTCTACTCCAACATTTCTAAAACACTTAAGATACCTTTGTGCTTGGTGAGAAGTTCTTTTGAACAGGTGAGGTAGGGCTGTTGTCCTGGAGAATGCAACTTTGGGGCCAGAGCAATAGTACATCAGGTACATTTGTCTTGCATGCGTCAACCCAGGTCCCATCCCCAGTATCCCATACAATTCCCCCAGCACTACCAGGAGTAATTACTGAGTGCAGAGCCAGGAGTAACCCCTAAGCATTGCTGGGTGTGACCCCCCAAAAAAGCAAAAAAAATTGCAACTTTGTCTGTATGCATATCTTCCTTCTCTCCTTATGGGTCAAGAGTCTTACCCCTTCAGAGCCTTGGAATTTCAAGTTATTTAGTTTTGTAACCTAACACCTCTCTCTTTGTACTGCCACCTGCCCATTTCTGGGGCATTTTCCTCTGTTAGCCTGTCATCTGTTCCTCTTTTGCGGACATACCCGACAGTTCTATTCCTACCAAACTTTGGCACTTTTAGTCTATCAATCATTCTTCCAGGATTCCCACCGGCTGACATTTGGTTTCTTGTTTCCCGAACTCTCCTACCTCATGTTGTTTTCTTCCCTTTAAATTAGCTGTGGCAGGGCATTCCCTTTTGTTCTCTCTCTCTCTCTCTCTCTCTCTCTCTCTCTCTCTCTCTCTCTCTCTCTCTCTCTCTCTCTCTCTTTCTCTCCCTCTCTCTCTCTCTCCAGAGTGGGATGGGGGGAATGGGTGGTGGGAGGGATACTGGGATCCATGGTGGTGGAAAATGGGCACTGGTGGAGGGTTGGGTGTTTGATTATTGTACAGTTGAAACCCAAGCACAAAAAATTGTAAATCTACAACTGTACCTCATGGTGTTTCACTAATAAAAAATTTAAAAATAAATAAAAAATAAAATAAAATAAAATTAGCTGCTTACACCTCTGGCCACGCCCAGGGCCTTATCGCTAGATCAGGAGTTGGCAAACTACAGACAGGCAAATCCAATCCATAACTTGTTTTTCTATAAACAGAATTAGGGGTGGGACTTAGTCACCCCAACTTGTGGAATGCAACTGATGACTGCTTATACACCAGACTGGCAGCCATAGATACTCCTAACAGAGATTGTCTAGGGTGCAAAGCTTAGCTATTTTATATCTGACACTTAGAATCAATTTGTTAACCTCTGCCTGGGAACGATAACTGTTGCCACTGCACACCCTCAGTTTTGTGTACCTCCCTCCACTATGCCGTCTATCTTTCTGGCTCATGAGCTACCATCCAAGCACTAACCTAGTTCCTCTCCTCCAGGATCTTTACTACATCACTCCCTACACCCTTTTCATCTCTCTCATGCTCTCGACTCATATTCTCGATGCTTTGAGAAGATTTCAGTTCCACAGCAAATCATTATGATGCTATTTTTTTTCCTCACATGCCCACCCAATACCTTGACTTTCTCTCTTCCTATCTAGAATTTGATTGTCAAAGAAATTATTGGTTTACCATGTTGGCTACCATATTCCTACAGTTTGACATAGCCGATAAAAAAAATCATAACCCTCTTACAATTTTATTGTAAATTCAGGCCCACAAACAGCAAAAGCTCTTCTAAGACTCTGGGTGATATTCCCTGTCTCCCAAGTTGATTCACCGTTCCTGGTCCTAGGAGCTAAAGAATCACTTTCATACCTTTATTCTTCCTGCATACCTTCAAATATCTTCCTTCACCTTTGCTCGGAGCTTATGACCTGGTTCCCATTCTTTGGAAAGACTGAGCCAACCAGAAGAGAATTTTCACGAAATATCTACACTATAGGTCCTCATACACATCTGTATCTATGTAGTGGACTTTCAAACTGCTGTCATTGCTATTCCTGCTGTTGTCTAAAGCCAAAGAAATTTATAAATTAGGTCTCAATCATTCTCAGTCCAGTATTTCCCCTTCCTTAACACCATCAGCTTTCCCTTTCTAGCAAATAATTCCATAAATATATTCTTATTCTGTGATTATCTTGTCTTTCTTGACCCCTTACCATAGAGCCAGAGGTAGACCCTGAGTACCATAGCATATAAATCCAAATCCTCCCTGCCATCCTTCATCCCAAATAGAGGAAAAATCATTTCTACTTCACTCTTTCCCAGTTAATGCTTTCTTTTATTTCCCTCATTGTAGTTAACATTTTCAAACTAATTACCTCCAGTTGGTCAGACTATTCCTTAAACTTCATTGGGATTTTATGCTTTCCTACAGTCATATGAAGAAACTCTTGGATCTATCAGTAAACTATTCATCATTTGTCATCTAAAGTATTTCTCTCTTGGTTCCTTCTATCTCCACCTGTCATTTCCTTTCTATCTCTTTTGTACAATTCTCTTCTTGAATGTCTGAATGGTGGAATGCCTAAAGACTCGATTCTTTAAATCTCTAGATTAAAGTCTACACTGACCCCCTCCTAGTCTACACTAACTGCTTTAATGATTTCAGAAATTCTCGTCATTTTATATTTTAGGTTTTTGGACCCGTGAAAGTTCTCAGGGTTTACTCCTGGCTTTATGTTCAGGGATCGCTCCTGGTAGATTTGGGGAACTATATGGGGTACGGGGATCAAATCTGGGTTGGCCATGTGCAAGGCAAGTGCCTTACCATCTGTACTATTGTTCCCACCCCATATTCTATTACATCAAATACTACTGATATGCTTGTCAGTCTTGAGTTTGTATTTATGCCATATTGCCTTATAAAATTCCAGACCTGATATCTGGTTGCATATTTGTCATGTCTGTTTGGCATCTCAGACTGTCCAAACCTGAACACGTGTTCCTTTCCCTAAAGCTTGGTTCTAGGTTTCCACAGGCCATAACCTTTGGTGTTCTTTTAAATTTCATTCTTTCTCTCATACCAGTTGATATGTCTTCAAAACATAACTATGTTTTTATTGTTCTTTACTATTATATCCCTGAACAAACTCTTGAAGCTGATAGAAAAATCAGAGAAGACTGATAGTTGAAAAAGTTACAGTAACGTGAAGAAGACAGACCCCTGAAACCAGAGGGCAGGGAAGTCCAGGAAGAGGTAACAGAAAGTGCAAAAGTCTTCGGAGCAGATATAGTCTGAGATCTTGGACATTCAGGATGAAAACCATCAAAATTCTAATGAAGAGGCCTACAGGAAGATTTTTTTTATGTAGTAGTACTGCAATTTATTCAGCCACTGATTAGCTGATTGAATTGGGCATGAACTCCACCTTACTTTTTTTTTTCATTTTTTTATAATTTTATTTACTGAATCACCATGAGAGCAGTTACAAAGCTTTCAGGTCTAAGTCTCGGTCATACAATGAAACACCCATACCTTCACCAGTGCCCATTCTCCACCACCAAGGAAGAATGTTTAAAAATGTGGTTGAAGCGAGACACTGAGGACCAATCATAAGGGACTTACTCACTACTTAAGAAATTTATCTTCAAAACCTTATGGTGGACTTTAAAGTAAGGCAATGATAGGATTTATGATCTGGAAAGAGCATTAGAACTATTTTGAAGCAAAAGGACTAAAAGATCAGGAGAAGAGACCATGAGACATTTAGGAAGCTGGAAGGAATTAGGGTTTGGGGTGATGTGGAGTGTGGAGGGGGAGCAGTGCCGATGGTGAGATCTGGTCTCATTTACATTCTGCATCAATATAGAGACGAGACTTGCTTCTCAGTAGGCAGTGAGAAGTCAGCATCAAGATGGGCTCAGGAGGGGCTGGAGCAATAGCACAGCGGGTAGGGCGTTTGCCTTGCATGCAGCCGACCCAGGTTTGATTCCCAGCATCCCATATGGTCCACCGAGCACCGACTTGAGTGATTCCTGAGTGCAAAGCCAGGAGTAATCCCTGTGCATTGCCGGGTGTGACCCAAAAAGAAAAAGAAAAAAAAAAGGATGCACTCATGAGGAAGACGTGGTTCTCACACTGCCAGCACTTCTAGGGTCACAATCATGGGGAGGGGGTAGAAAACTGGGCAGGATATCTGATTCTAGTGCCATACTCCTCATTCATGTGCATCACTGTCGTAATACTAACAGCACACAGCATAGTTGCTAATTATTGTGTGCCCTGTTACAGACACTCTGTTGATTTCTTTACACAAAATATTTCATTCATTCTCAAAGCAACCTGTTTTATAGATGATGTTGAGGGCTCGGAAATGCTAAATAATCTTCCCAGGGTCAAGCAGCAAGTCAGTGGATTCCTATATTGATACTGTGATACAGGCGAGAATTATAATTACTTCTACTTTAAGGATCAGAAGGTGAAACGTGGGGGTTAAATGAATTTGCAAGGTCACATTGTTAATAAGTGACAAAGCTGGAAATAAAAACAAACTCTTCTGATCCCTACTACCATGTCTGTAGTGGATGAAGTAAATTGACTTAGCTGGATCTAAGTTTCAGTAAATCAGGAAGGAGTGGGCCAAGTGCATTATACTACTTGCTATACCCTTTTTACATTCTATGCTTACAATTATCTCTCTGGCATTTGTATGTTGAGCTGCTATTTTATTACCTTTCTTCACGTCTAGCTCAGAACATTTTGGCTAACTATCTACAACAATTTTTGCGAATTTAAATCAGAAAAGATACAAGTGTTTATGTAGTGGCATTCTTTTATACTTCCTTTGCATTTCTTGCAGAGCCAGACAGTGATTCAACATTTTAGAATCTCATAAAATAATTTATTCGTGCAATATATATATATATATATATAAAGTGAAATGGCTTAACATTATTTTTAAAAAAGGAATGGAATACCTACAAACTTAATTTATTTGAATTATTTTCAATACATTTCTTTAAGTATGTATGTAGTGAACATATTTATCAAATAAGTAACTTCTGAAGTTAATAGAGTAATTGGATATTTTAGGTATAAATAAAATGATCATGGAATTTTCATTTAGAATGACTACAGACCTTGATTTGAGAAGACAGAGTCAGAGAGACTAGAGATTGGAAAATAGGAGTTATAAAAATAATCGTAATGTTGTATAATTGGGACTTGAATTATAACCAGGTCTCTTATGCAGGGAGCTAGAAGGAATAGAGAAACTTAAGATGCAATAGATTACACTGACAAATACTCATTACTACATTGCAAGAAATCACTGAACTATTTTCATCAGTTTAAAATATCAGCCACCTAGATAGTCCAGAAAGCACTTGATATTTAATAAAGTTATTTTGAGCCTGGCTTATGAAACACTCATGATCATACTTTATTTAGTCTAAATTAATTTAAAGCTATTGTCTTATCTGGAAAATTATCTTCAAATTCCCTTTCATTTATAAGTTTGTACACTTTCAAAGAACATTAGAATGTCATTTTTGGAAAGGTTACACATGAGAGTTTGTCTATGAGTTAGCGGGAGGGAGGGCGTGGGGACAGAGGAGAGATTTCACCTGAGTCTATTGGGGTTGTTTGATGCTTTAAGCAGTTTTTTTTCCCTATAGTAGAGCTGACCAAACAATTCCTATCTTCAACCAGCTTAGAAAATCTTTCATTCCATCTGTATTCAGGTAGAATTATTAGCTGTATGTGATAGAGGAATGAAAAGAACAGACTTTTTTTTTTTTAATGAGAGTGATCAATAAGCTGGTGAATTTTTTTTAGTTCCCTGAAATTTATTTCTTTATTTATTATTTTATTAGTGAAACACCATGAGGTACAGTTGTAGACAATTACTGTCTTGTGTACAATTACTGTGCTTGGGTTTTAGTGATACAATGATCAAGTACCCATCCCTCCACCAGTGCCCATTCTCCACCACCAATGATCCTAGTAGCCCTCCCACCCGCACACCCCATCCCCCTGCCCCACCCCGCCTCTGTGGCAGGGAATTCCCTTTTGCTCACTCTTTCTTTCAGGGTCTTGTAGTTTGCAATAGAGGTATTGAGTGCCCATCATGTTCGGTCTATAGTCTACTTTAAGCACGCATCTCGCATCCCGAGCGAGTCCTCCAAACATCTTTAATTGGTGTTCCCTTCTCTATCTGTACTTAAATGTTCAGTGCTGCACTGTTCACAATAGCCAAAATTTGGGGAAAAAAAACCTGAGTGCCTGAGAACAGATGACTGGTTAAAGAAACTTGGGAAGGTGGTGGTGGAAAATGGGCACTGGTGGAGGGATGGGTACTTGATCATTGTATAACTGAAACCCAAACACAAGAATTTGTAAGTCTACAACTGTACCTCATGATATTTCACTAATAAAAATTTAAAAAAAACTTGGGTAGATCTACACAATGGAATACTATGCAGCTGTTAGAAAAGATGAAGTCATGAAATTTACATACAAGTGGTTCTACATGGTTAAAATTTTCATGGGCTCTTCCGCGCCCCCAACCCCCTCCTTTTAGGATTGCTCCCACTGAAGTTATTGATATTGCCATGAAGAGTTAGTGTGTTCCAGCAGGAGGTGACACAGAGGTTACTTACAGGCTGGGCCCACCAGCATCTCAGCCGCTCCCAGCAGCACGTATTGAAGGACCAGGTAGGCGCAAGGCATGGAGGAGACGCTGATAGCTTCGCCTGAGCGCGGTTGCTGCATGGGAGGGAAATGCTTCCGGTAGATTTCTAGGATGCCAGCTACCATTACACTCAGGGCGGCACAGAGGTGCCCAGCAACTGAAAGGGAATGAAAGAAGGAGCTAGACATCATTGTTCTAAGCCTTGGGATTTCTTATTCTTTCAAAAAGATGTTTCTTTTTCCCTGGGGCTATGTCGGTGCCACCTACCTGCCTTCTAAGCGCATCCTGCGCTGTCTCTCTTGGTTACTGGCAAACGACCACAATGTCTCTCCATCCTAACTTACTGGTGATAAGACCTCAGGCCAGTTATTTAATCTCATTATCACTCTCCTCAGGTCCTAGGCTGGGACTAATGGTTCTTACTTTGTAGGGAGGCTATGAGATTTAAGTAAGATAATGTACTGACATCACTCATGATAAGGGTTCCTGGTGGCAATCAGTGGTGATTATTATTAAAGACAAAGCATAAAAGTCTGAAGTTTTATCCTCAGAGAAGTTATATCTTTCTTGACATACTTTTTTGATCACATACATGAATCAAAAATGATTTGGGGGAAATTTAAAATAATTTTCTCTTCACAGAGGTATGAAATTGTGCCCTGAAAATAAACTGATATATGTATATATTCATAAGGTTTTATTTTTTAGGAAAAGTTTGTTTGTTTTTGTTCATGATGATTTGTCATAGGCATTCAGTATTCCAACACCAATCCCACCACCATTACACCTTCTGTCCACCACTGTCTCCAATTTTCCCAACCACCCCTCAAGCCTGCCCCCATAGCAGGCCCACGGTAATCTATTTTATATTGCTTGTTATCAATAAGTTGCTAACAGAATGATCAAGAATATTTCCTTCGAAGGAAATTAGTATAAATTGTTGTGTCTCACCATGGAGACATTAAGTCCTTGAATGAAGGATTACTAAGGTGTTGTTCCAGGTTAAGCCTTCTGAGCTACTGTTTGGTTAGGTGAGATTGGTTGCCTTCTGTGTTACATCCCATCCAGTCTGGTGCGCTACTACTGGATTATCAGTGTTGCAGAATTTTGAATTGTGCAGTCATGACACAAAGGTGGCTGCATGCTCCAGGAAATCGAAAATTTTTAACTGGGTGAAAAACTTGTAAGCATCATTAGTCATCAGTTTTCTGATATTCTCTAATCTTTACAGAAAACATAAAGCAGTTATTAGGGAATTAAAACTAAACTGAAACTTTTGTTTAGGACCATATTCAACTTGAGTTATGTGTTATGTAGGTCATGTGTAACATGGAATCAGTTATGGATGCAGGGCGGGGGGGGGAGGGGTAGGTGTGGTGTGTCAATTCTCTCCTTTAAACTTTTCCAGATTTGTCTAGGACAGTTGTCTGGAAATGAGTGAGGATTTAGTGACTGTTTTGTTAACAGTTTATATCTACTGAAACCATTTCCATTTTTCTCAATCTATCATTCATTTTCTGGACTTTATCCCATCTTTAGAGCATAGACAAACTTTAGCATGATGGAATTTACTTGAAATTTAGAGATAATCACATTTTGCTAAGTTGCATAAGAGTTCAGATAAGGCAAAGCTTTCAATACAGAAAAATCAATCTAATGTTTAAATAGCTTGGTGTTTGTTTAGGTTGATAGAGAAACTGGTAGCGAAATTTTAAAAAACTTTTATCTCAGCATTTAAATATATCCATAAAGTCCATTTTTTCCTGAGACCTCAAGAAATGAATGGTGTCCAAAGAGAGGAAATCTGAATAACCATTTAAAAATGGGAGGAAAATTTTTTATTTATTATTAAATTAAATTCTATAAGGGTACATACCAAGTGAAGTAGAGATTTTGATTTTGTAAGTACCTCATATAAAAAATAAATTTCATGTATTATCTAGCTTTAAGATCAAATTTATCACATAATTGCATTTATCCAGATTACTTGACACATTACAGTCTCATCAGAAAGAGCTAATATGTCAGCCCAATTTAATGTTGACTCTTCCCTATTATCTGCACGGTACAGTTGGGGATATCAGATGAGAAAGATCGATTCTCAGTCATTGTGGACTCATATTTTATTGGGAAATATATGGAGAACTGATTTTAAGTCAGAAAGGTGAGAAAAATAACTTCATGCTTTAAAGAAGTAAGTGTCTTTATGTGGAAAAGAAAACAGTACCAATGGTATGAGCAAAGGCACAGAGTCGTAAAAGGGTCAGAAACATTTTCAGGCTGGGGAAAAACTCAAATTATTTAGGACCAGAAGAGAAAAATTTATATTAGGGGCAAATCAGTAAAGCTATTTCAGTTTATTTTTAAGGAATTAGAAAATTATTCTGGAGATAGTACAATTATTAATAATATTAGGTACATTCAAATAAATTTAGGATAATCTAGATAAGGAAAAGCATACCCCCTTTGTTTTGGTCATCACCTCTGCAATGTAAAAATGTTTATATTTTATACAAGGAAGTTGATGGTAGCATTAGAAGTAATAGTTAACGATCAGTGATTTTTTTTCAGAAAGAGGCTAATAAATATTTTAGTTTTTATATAACAAATTGCAAAAAAGAAAGTGAAGCTATAGAGGTCCTTAAATAATGAGAGAATACATTTCTACTCTTATTAATGAAATTAAAAATTAAACTATTTTAAGGGGAAGATGGCAATGGAATTTTGCTTAAGTAGTGTTCAGAGATATAGTTTCTTGAGCCAGTTACAAATACCCATACTTGAAAACAATTCTTAGTTTTCTTGTAGTAGAAAAACAGATGGCCGATCTGACAGGTGCTTTATGTAGTGGTTGGCCAACCCTTGCTTTAAGGATTAGCTTTTATTGTCTATTCCTGAATTCCAGCTCTAAGCATATGAGAAATTGAGGCCTTTGGGGCATGGGTGAGGTTTGGGGCCACACTTGGGGTTGCTCAGTGGCTATTCCTCGCTCTTATTCCCTCTTGGTACTTGAGAGAACCATATGTACTGCCAGAGATAGAACCAGGATTGGAAAGTTGAAAGGCAAACATCATAAGCCTGTACTATCTCTCCACTGCCCTGGAATTGTGGCAATTTTACCTGACCCCTCTACCTGTACACAGATTTGAAAAAACACAAGAAGGTAATCTTTTCCTTTTTTTTTTTTGCAGTGCTTCTGGGTATCGAACCTAGGCCCTCAGTCATGCCAGACAAAAGTAGTACACTGAGCTGCATCACAACCTAATGTTAGGGTACTTCTTTCATCTCTTCTCCTGCCCTTGATTCTCAAAGCTTGCTAGACATCAAATTAAATCATCAAAGCAGATATACACTTAAACAAGATCCCTAGAAAATTCCTACACACATTTACCTTTGAGACACCCACTCTAGCACAGAGCACTAAAAAGCGGGCACTTGCAAAATCCAACAAAACACAGTTCTCCAGACAATTTCAAGCCAAGTACATTTATTTAATTCATTTACCCAGCTATATTAGGGCAAAGCATATCTCACCTAAAGGATCTAGATAACTACATTTGCATTTTATTTGCTACAACACTCTGGTGCCACCAAAAAAATGACTTAAAAAAAAGGTTTTGATTCCACCCTAAATGCAATCTGCCCCATTTTTCATTCTTAAATTCTATGGGATCATCACATGTCAAAGTAGTTTATCAGAAGACACACATTTACAATTTCAGCAGATCTTTATTTACAAGATAAAGCACAATGGTTCCAGAGGAGAGATTATATCCTACTAAATAATTGTATGTTTTAATATTGACTCTGTGGTTTCAAACAAGTTCAAAAGAGTTTTGAAACCCCTGTAGTTTATTCTACTAGCCTAGCATGCAATAACTTCCTGGATTAAATTGCTGTGAAATAAAAGGAAGCCAGAATTTTTTCAAGAATTGGATTGCACATTCAATTTCATATTGAAGCAAAATCTATGCTAAAAATAAATGCTTTAAGATTCTTTTTCTTTTTTTTGCTTTTTAGGTCACACCTGGCAATACACAGGGGTTACTCCTGGCTATGCACTCAGGAATTACACCTGGCGGTGCTCAGGGGACCATATGGGATGCTGGGAATCGAACCCAGGTTGGCCGAGTGCAAGGCAAATGCCCTACCCACTGTGGTATTGCTCCAGCCCCCAAATGCTTTAAGATTCATAACTATTAACCGAATATACTGGGAAAGCTATGGTTTGGTGTGAGATGTCAAATATGTGGGTCTCTGGCATGTGTTTAAGCTTAAAACCTTACGTATGAGATTCTATTGAGTCCTTGAGAAATTGTCTTTGTGTCCATGATCTTGTTATTTCCCAGAAAAGGCAACTTGTTCACATGAGAATAGACTGGGATCTCTAAACTACTCTGATAGAGACAGCTATACATTTATTGCTGTATGTATCCACTGCCTTTAGATCTTCTTCACTTGCTATATTTTAGAATGCCATTGCTTAACTTTCATTTCATTTCCCCTTCCATTTGTATTGTGCTCCTGTATTTGAACTGAACTACCCACCTTTTGGGTTTTCTTTTGTTGTTGTTTCTCTATAGACCACTGGGACTCATTTTAAAAGCTTCAGCTCAGTTTGGGTTTTTCGTTCTGAATAAGGTTCTGAATAAGGAATAGGTAAGTAATTGACATGCTAGTTAGACACTGTCTATCTATTAGGCCTCAATTATTCCTATAGATAATCCACTTTTGCTCAATGTTATTTCAGTTTTTTGAGTGAAGCAAAGTGGTTTTTACTGAACAAAACTTAAGGAAATGTGTATGAGAGAGAAGGAGAGAGAGAGAGAGAGAGAGAGAGAGAGAGAGAGAGAGAGAGAGAGAGAGAGAGAGAGAGAGAGAAAGGATGGTTTCAAGACCTGATGTGGGCTTAGCAATTAGCTTGAGCCCTAGGGTGAGCTTTGGGAGAACATTATATACAATTTCTCCAGAGTATCTTGACCTGGGCTTTTTTGTATACGTAAAAGTTTATCAGGATGTGATCACAGAGAAAGCCAAAGGCTCTTTATAGTTCTTTCATACTTCTATCATGATATTTAGATTTCTTTGTAGCTTCTCCTTTTCAGAGGGGTCCAATTTTGATGTCAGTTTTTAAAAGGAGAACTTGAAAACAGTGTTATTATACAAATGAATAACTGTGGCCATGATTTATTCAGGCAAGGTGTTACAGGATATTTCATTTGGTGTTTACACAATTCTATCTGATCATTTGCAGTTGGGAGACAGGTGATGTTTCTTAGAAAAATGCTCCTATTCTAAAATTATAATAAAGAAAAAGTAGTTTTGCTGCCATAATTCTGCTTTCCAAGAAGATGATTGATTCTCAATTGACCTTAAACTATCAAAGACTCTTGATTCCAACCCCAAAAGGAAACTTTCTGTCCCTTTCAATTATTAGAGCGAATAGAAATTACTGGTTAAGTAAAAAGAATCAAACACTTGGGCTGTACCTACATCATAAAAGACTTATACTCAGAATTTGAATTTTATAAGTGTTTTATTTTTAAAGAGGAAGGTCTGGCAGATATTTGAATATGCTTCATCTGCATTTCCATGTAAATGTTATTTAAAAGCCAAGATAATTTCTACCTACTGGGCTGTACACTTCTGCTCTGTGCAAGACTTAATGACAATCTTAATTAGGCTAATTTTAGTCAGATTAATACTTGTGTGTGTCAGCACTATCGACTAAATGCCATATACTGCTGGATTTTAATTAATGCTAGGGAAAGGAAATACTCATGGTGGAAACACTCCTGAGCTGAAAAAGGCTAAACTGAAGTGTGTCCAATATGGCAGATGAGAATCGAAATGATATTCCTGCATCTTCTGAGTGTGCTGGGGAGTTAAGACACAGCTCCCAGTAGAAAGAGTCTTGTGCTTGGAAAACAGAGTCTAGACAAACCGTCCTGAATTTGGCAGGTCTTTGCTTTACATAGTTCTGGGAAATTTGCAGATTTTTTTCTTAACTTGGTACTATGCGGACCTCTTGATTTCTTTAGGTGATACACTTAGGAATGTCCTGTCTTGATTCTGAACCCTCTCTTTTGTTGCTTAAACTATACATAAGCTAGAATTAAGAAAATGCATGTTTCTAGGTTCCATTGTTCAGCTTCCAGTTTTATCCACTGAGTGCAGCGGGTGGGGGGGGGGGGGCATCTTTGATCCACTGGACTGTCATCTCTGTGGACCTGGGGACAAGCTGGCTGTGAAACACTGGCATCCTGCAGCCCAACAGTCCGGGAAAGGGCTGATAAGGAAGGACAGGGGGATCCAAGGAGTCCCAGTCTTTGTGATAAACAGAAAGTTTTTATTCATTTGGTCCATTAATTGGGAAGAAAATTAAGGTTCCACAAGAACATGTAAAGTGTTATGTTAACTTCTATGACCAAACAGCAACGAATAGCTGGTAAGTACAACAATAACAACAACAACAGTAATAATAATGATTATGCAGTGGCTTTAGGAAGAGAAGACCTAAATTCAAATAGTGTCTGTAACTTTTGTGACCTTTAAGATGTTTTATCATGAAGTGAAATGGGGCATGTATGTGAAGAATCCTAAATTCAAATTAAGAACTTAGTGTTTTGTGAACAATCTGTTGACTTGATATACAGTACTTATATAATCAAGGTAACGGGGTTCACAGAAAAAGAAAAATTTAATATTAAATTAATTCAGTTACGTAAATTGCTATTTAAAAGTACCCTAGTTTATGCGTATATGTCCTGATCAAACTTCCTGATCTTCCATAATCATGACAGCTTATGGAAAACTGAAACAAGTGTCCAGCTTAAAAGATGCAAGTTATCACGTCTTTACATTCCTCTATCAAGACATCATGCAAATAAATGAACATGTATATAAATGAAGAAATGAATAGCATCTGGTTTAGCAGCAACTGCATTTAGATTTTATACCCAGAGGAAATGAGTTGACCTAAAAAAATAAGTCTGGTTATTGCTATTGCCTGTCCAGCAAGTCCTATTAATAAGCTTGTGGAGGAATATTTTATTTGCTAGCATCAATGCATTAGAATAGTCTATCGTCTCTCAGAAAAAAAAAGTGCAGTTCTTTAAGAACAAACAGCAGGTGAAGACCAGAGAGATAATACAGTGTGTAGGGTGCTTGCTTTGCAGAGGGCTGACTGAGGTTTGATTCCTGGTACCTCATGTACTTCCGTAGACCCCTCCAGGTGTGTTCCCTGAGCCCAAAGCTAGGAGTAAGCCCCAAGCATCACTAGGTGTGGTACAAAACCGAAACAAAAAGAAAAAGAATAGATGGTAGACACTAGATTTTTAGCAGTGGGTATGCTCTCATTTCCATATAAAAGTATGAAATCAAACCCCTCAAATTCCATAATATTGAATAAAATGTTAAATCAATACAAATTAAAAATTAAAATTACCCTAAAAATAAGCGCGGTTCACACATGCTAGGGGAAAGGGGAGCTCAGAGAGAGAAGGAAACACCAAATAAAGGTGTTGGGAGGATCCTCCCAGAATGGGAGAAGCTAAAAGTAGACTATAGACCAAACATGATTGCCACTCATTGCCTCTTTTGCAAACCACAACACCCAGTAAGAGAGAGAAAACAAAACGGAATGCCCTGACACAGAGGCAGGGTGGGATGGGGGGATGGGGGTTGGGAGGGATACTGGGATTAGTGGTGGTAGAGAATGGGCACTGGTGGAGGGATGGGTATTTGATCATTGTATAATTGAAACCCAAGCACAAAAATGTGTAAGTCTTCAACTGTACCTCATGATGTCCCACTAACAAAATTTTTTAAAAAAAGCATGGTTCAAAAACATAAGAGTATGGGTGGAGAGAGAATCCAGTATACCTGACATGAAACCAAGCCTCTGTCATATTCTCAGAAGAACATGGTCTCCTGGATGTTACCAGGTGCAGTCTGAGGATCCCCAATAACTGCTGGAACTGACTGTTGTGGCTTTGGGGACACCCAGGCCACTGGGGTGGCCCAGGTATCCCTGACATGCAGGGCCTGAGCAGCCCCCCATCCTTGGACCCTGGCATGGAACCAGTGGGGGATTGGCTGAGAATTTCCTATGGGGCGCCTTAGACCACTCGGCCAGCTGGAGCGATAGCACAGCGGGTAGGGCGTTCGCCTTACAAGCAGCCAACATGGCCAACCCGAGTTCGATTCCTCCGCCCCTCTCGGAGAGCCCGGCAAGCTACCGAGAGTATTCGGTATGCCAGACACAGTAACAACAAAGTCTCCAATGGAGACGTTACTGGGCCCACTCGAGCAAATCGACAATCAACGGGAGGGCCTTTACCTTTACCTTTACCTTTACTTTCACCTTTACCTTTCCTATGGGGCCTGGAATCTCCCGAGTACCACTCAGGAGGTATGTTAAGTTAAACTCCTTTTGTGATCTGTTTATGTCAGACCTGTGATAGTTCCTACCACTAGCTCACATTTATAGAGCTCTAGGCACTGATGCTATCCTGAGTGATCTCAGAACTCTTGCAGAGTAAAAGTTTACATAGGTTGTGATCCTCAGTGAGAAGAACAAGTGAACTAGAAGACACGGAGCTCAGGGGAATTTCAGAGGTTCCCTGTAGCTGCCCAGTGGGAGAACAAGGCCCTGACTGAATTTTGGTTCCCCACCTGTACTCCTTTGATGGACTAGAGCTTGTCCTATTGTTCTGTGATGGTGCCAAAAAGACAAGCCTAAGAAGAGGACAGTGTGATCAGAATGAATGCCAGCTCTGTCTTTCCCTTTTCAATTGGTGTATTTATTTATGGTTTGTTGATTGTCTTCTGAGTAAAAAGTCCTAAGGTTTTTGTTTGTTTATTTGTTTTTGTTTTATGGCAATACCCAGTGATTCTCAGGGGTTTGTTCTAGCTTTGCGTTCAGGAATTACTCCTGGAAGTTCTCGGGGTACCAGATGGGATGCCAGGGATTAAACCTGGGTCGGTCCTGTGCAAGGCAAGTGTCCTACCTGCTGTATTATCTCTCCAGTGCCAGAAGTCTTAGGTTTTTTTTTATTTTGATGATGAGAGCAGAGTTTTAATGTTTTCGCCTATGACACCACCACTACCAAGAATGAAATGGTATTTATGTGAGGTAAAGCATATGTGAACTACCCTTATTATGATGAGCGTTTTGCATGTGTGTCAAGCCATCACACTATGTGTGCCTTAAACCTACATAATGCCTGATGCCAATGATATATAGTAAAATTGTTGAAAAATGTTAGGGAACATTGCTCTACACCATACTTTTTGATAATGTACCCACTTATTCACAGTGCTAACTTTCAATATATTTTGCTACTAGTTCATAAGTGAAAACCCCTCAGCACAAATGGACATCATAATTTTGGCTTGTTATCTGTAATTATTATTTTATTTTATGTGAGAGTTTCTTTGGTTACTTCTCAGAGCTTACTCCTGGCTCTGTGCTCAGGGATCTCTCCTGGTGATGCTCAGGGTACCAGAGATAGAGCTGGATTTATCAATAAATCTAACTGGGTTTGTCAATTCACAGTGTAAGAGACCATACTGGGTTTTGTCACATACAAAGAAAGTTCTTGGCCCCTATATTATCTCTCTGGCCCATCCTGTGCTTATTCTTAAGAGCATTTTTAGAATTAACATAGGACCAAGGACGGTCTTCCTGAAAGGATAAGACCTTTTGGCAGCACAAGGAATACCATATCTTACAGGTGCATCATCTAAAGAAGCATAGAGACAAGGAAGAAAATGAGTCATGGACAAGTGGACTGAGATTTGATAAACTGGTAACTAGCACTCTCCAGTTCACCTTCTTCCCAGTTTCTCAAAATCAGACTCTACTCCCGAACCTCACTGGGATGCTAGCACAGCAATTTTATTTTTATTTTTATTATTTCATTTCATCACATTGAGAACAAATTACTTGTGCTGAGAAGTTGTACTCACTAATGCATGCTGACAGGAACCGTCCGTCTCGTGTAGAGGGAGGCAGGCAGTTGCTGCAATACTCCATCAGTGGAGCGAGAATTAACAGAGGTAGGATGTTGGTGATGTTCATCACTGCGACTGGCAGGAGAAATCCCTCCCAATTCAGGTTGGAATGCATGGTCTGCAGGTAAAATCCTGAAGGAATCTGTATGGGAGAGGAACCAGCCATATCTTAGGACAGTGCTTTAAATCTGTCCAAATCTGGGGCTGGAGAGATAACACAGCGGGTAGGGCATTTGCCTTGCATGCGACTGACCCAGGTTCAATTTCCAGCATCCCATATGGTCCCCTGAGCACCGCCAGGAGTAACTCCTGAGTACAGAGCCAGGAGTAACCCCTATGCATCGCCAGGTGTGACCCAAAAAGCAAAAATAAATAAATAAATAAATAAATAAATAAATAAATCTGTCCCAATGGCTGTGGGACAGGAGCTCCATCTCTGGCAGGTAGTCTGTCACGGATAAACTGACTGTTCCTCAGTGATTCAAAGTCCTAGGCGTTAGATGACAAGGGACAGTCAGAACTATATGGCAGCAGGAGTTCTGTTGGGTGTATTGACAGTCCTTTTGCTTAGTATTGTTTTGGTGCCACGTTGAAGGTGCCCGAGACTTACTCCTAGTTCTGTGCTCAGGGGTTACTGATGGTGATGCTGGTGAGACTCATATGTGGCATTGGGGATAGAATAAGGGTCAACCATATGCAAGGCAACTCACTTTTCCCTTTACTCTCTCTCTGGTCTCTTTGTTTTTAAATAGAAAAATCTTGTTTCATCTCACCGACTTGATTTCCCTTTGAAAACTGACAGTGGCTCTGATTTTGAGTATTGGGTTTTACATTAAGAAGTTTTGAGCTCTTATAAACACTGACCTTTTTTTTTCTTTTTTTTTAGGGTTTTTATTTATTTTAAATTTTTATTAGTGAAACCTTTATCTTTTTTTTTTTTTAAAAAAACAGTAAGTTAAAACTCTGTGGAAGCTTAAACATACTTGTTTTCATTCTTATAAAAAAAAAAACCACTGGGGAATAGGTTCTAGGAATAGATTCTTTCTGCATCCCAGGAATAGGTTCTTTCTGCATCCTACATTGATGGCTCACTAGATATGATAAACTTTATCCTCCAAACAGAGGATCCAGTGTTGAACTTCATTGTTTGTTATTGGCTGTCTTTGTGGGTCCCTGAATTGGCCTAGTTCCTACCAAACACACAAAGCAGAGAGTGAAGCTATCCTGGTATATGCACTCTCCTTTTGAAGGAGTTATGTGGCATTGATGGATCACAAAGAGAACTCAGGGAAAAGGCTGCGTCCAAAATCAGCACATGGAACATAAACACTTATGTTAAATCTCATCCTTTTAAAAATAATCCCAATATTCGCTACAATCCTCACCCAACTTGGGTGGTTTTCAAACCTTTTGTGTGAACTGACTCTCAGGGGGCGAGGAGACAGTACAAAGAAGGGGGGCAGGTACCTTGCAGATGCAAATCCCTGAATTTGGTCCTCAGTACTGCTGGGTGTGGCCCTAGTGGCTGCCAGCACCACTGGGCCCAACAATGAAACTTCGAGTTGCCAAGTATCTGGGAGAAGCTCATGGGAGCCTTGAGCACTGTTGGGAGACCCATGTTCCCTCCCCCACAAAGAGCCAAGACCCATGGAGTATGTCAGGAAAGGGGCATTGCCTTCCTCAATTCTCATTCCGGGCATTGCTACCCCCTCCAGCATGCACTCATTCTTTCCTTCCCAAAGACACAAAATGCAGCTGCATAGCTCAGAGACGAAGTTCACTGAGTTGTGTTTGAAGAGTAGATTCGTCAAACTAGTTTTCTGACAGTCTGTGCACCGCCCTAGAGACTAGCATCCTGCGGGGAGAGTTTGCATCAACCCCCTGGTACCACTTGCTCATGACTAATTTCTCTATCATTTATACATGTGAGAGGGTCCAAGGAGCGTCTGCTGTCAGCCAACATGGCAGTTCAGGAGCCCACCGGGTGTCAAATGGACACTGTCAGTTGCCCACAGCAGGGACTGGATCTCATGTTCATGGAAATTATTCCCACATCTCTAAGTACATCCTGGTGATCATTTATTATCCAGTCTTCACTTTGCCCCTTGGATTTTTTCAGGGGTCACTTCTGGTTTTGCGCTCACGACTAATGCCTAGCAGTGCTCGGGAGACCACATGGGATATTGGGGATTGAACCCAGGTCAGCCACCCACAAGGCAAGCTCTCTATCCTCTGTACTGTCTCTCCAGCCCGGTTCTTGGATTGTTAACCAGAACGGTTTGAGGTGGCAAGAGAGAAGGAAGTAGTAGTTCTGCTCTGGTTCAATAAAAATTTTAAGCACATATCCCTCCCTCCATCAGCAGGAAATGAATTGTTATTTTTTAAAGCGTTGGCAGCAGAACTACTCTGCCCGAAAGGCTCCCGGCCCAACGTGGAAGTTTCTGTTACGGATTTCAAATGAGAATTATTGTTAATAGAAATAAAGTTATTATCGACATGAATCACAGACATGGAAACCTGTTAACTTAATAATGTGGCAAATGTACTATTAATCTTTAGTGAAGCAATATTAATCTATCGCCTAATCTAGGAAAAGGCTCCAGTGTCTTGAAAGCTTGAAATCATTCCTGCTTCTGCCTCAAGTTCTGAAATCATCCCCGTTTAAAATTTTAAAGACTTTTATTTCATAGAAGCCTTTGAGTATTCAGAAATAATTGCTGTCAATAGAAATTCATTTTCACCTTTGAATGGCCGGGAATGTCAAATGGCAAAATCGTCAGCCTTAATATCAACATATTTTAAATGTATGTCTTGGAACTGAAGGTCAAGAATGGCCACTAAATTTAAAATATGGAATCCTATGATGTTTTATTCCAGAAACTTTGATTACCTTCGCTCTGGTGATGACTTCATCTGGAAGCAAAAATGTACTTCCAGGCCACCCCTATGGGAGCTTTTCTCTGCCTCCCTTGAGAAGTATGTTCTAACCGTGTTTTCAAAAAGTTTCTGGCACAATATCACCATATATCACCATGGGAAGTATATAGATTATATAAGGAATTCTTTAAAAAATATTTATTTTTAAATTGAATCACCATGGGAGGCACTGTTACAAGGTTGTTCATGATTGGGATTCAGTCATATATTGTTCCAACACCTGTTCCTTTACCAGTGTAAATATCCCACCACCAATGTCCCCAATTTCCCTAACATATTCCCCCAATTCTATGGCAGGAACTTTTTCTCTCTCTCTTTTATACATATGGATATATATATGAATATATATTATATATATACATATATGGGATTCTTAATCTAGTCTTAGAAAAGCTGCCATGAGTGCTATCAAAGGCATGTGTGGATACCAGCCCCTTATATCTGGGCTGTCTCTCTGCCACTTATCTGCAGAATCATTATGAGCAAGTTGCTAAATGTCTCTGAGCCTCAGACCAAGAACAAGCTCAGCCAATTGGATTTGCCATGGGTATTAAAGTGTAGTCATCTTGGAGAAGCTATTGCATAATAGGTGCCCAATAAATATCAGATGCCATTCTCTGCAATAAACTAGGCTTCTAGATTTGGCAAGATGCTCACACAGTTGTTTCTCTACATGTATTGTAATATCTCTCAAATTAAAATTTAAACACAGCTAAAAGAAATACCAAGTGTCACTGTAAAACAAAGTCAAAGGATCTCTAATCTGTACTGTTTGCATAGAAGGTCTGAGGGCCACTTCGTAATTTTGTTCTCACTATCAGTGTCTCCATTCGAAGATGTTTTGTGAAATTAATGATATGGGTCCCATTTCTGTGTCAACTGCTGTTGCAGAGTCAAGAGGGAGATTGAATCTGCTAAATCAGGGTAGCATTTATGCTTTGTTTACAGCAAAGATTGACAAACTTTTCTGGAAGGGACAGAGAGCAACTATTAGCCCATATAGTTGCATTCTCATGCACCGATATAACCCTTCTCCTGCATAAATAGACAAAGTATGGCAAATGAATGAAAATGGCCATTTTGCAAAAATTCTTTTGTGGCACTGACTTTTGAATTTCATCTGATTTTCACATGCCACAAAGAGTTTTCATCACATGTTTTTTTCAGTGATATAGAAATATGAAAAATAGCTTTCCAGACCTACAGAGGTGTGCAGGGGACTTGGTAGGCAGTAGCCGTTTGCTCATTTCTAGTTTCGATACATGTCCCCCTGTGTTTTTATAATCTCATGGCAACATCAGGTGCAAATAAATGAATGATTATATAAATAAATGAGTGGTATCTGTTTAGAAACACCTAGATTCTGCCCTTCCTTTAAATACTATTAACTGTGACCTACCTGTTCATTGCACAATCATTGGATTTTTTTTATAGCCTCAGTTTCCTTTTCAAGAAATGAGTTTTTCCATAATTCCCAAAAGTAGACAGAGAATGGGAGAAATTATCTGCCATGGAGGCAGGGGGAAGGCTGGAAAGGAAGGGTATACTAGGGATATTGGTGGTGGAGAATGAGAACTGGTGGAAGGATGGATGTTTGATCATTGTATGACTGAAACTCAGACATGAAAGCTTGTAGCTGTATCTCATGGTGATTCAATTTTTGAAAAAAGAAAAGAAATGAGTTTTCAGGTCAAGAGATAATACAGTGGTCAGGTTGCACACCTAGCATGCACCCAGCTCAGGTCTGATTCCTGGTACCACGTGACCTCTTCACAATAACCAAGCTCGTCCCTGGAGGCCCCCAACACTGCTAGTGAGGCCCAGGGAATCATAGGGATTGAGCAGATTTTCATCTTCGGTTCTTTGCATTGAACTTCTGGCTGCTGGCCCAGTTGGCAGAGAAATGCCAGTGGGCCCCAGTACCTCTCGAGCACTACTTGGTAGTCCCATATCCCCCACCCCTGAAAATAGAAAATAATGAGTGAAGTGGTTTCTAAGTTTCCTTTCAATTGCATTGTTCTTTGATTTGTTGATCATAAATCATTCATTCATTAGCCTTCTAAATTCTAAGTAGAGGGTGAATAACAAATAAGTCTCAAATTTCTTCCGTTTTCAAATTTATATTTCTTCATAAGTAACTTGATCTTAAAACATTCAAAATAATATGAACCACATGCAATTCTATAAAGTACTTTGGACTCAGATCTTTCTCTGATTTCTCTAGGGACTTAGGGGCTGATTAACCAAGGAGCTAAGAGTGGGTGGGGAGAGAATCGCTTGCTCATTAGTACTTATTGTTATGAGTACTGTGGAGGTGGTGCTCAAATTAGTCAACTCAGCTACTTCTAGTACCACTTTTTAAAGGTTTAATGGGGGAGGAAGGCCAACCTTTGACTGAAGGGAAGTGAGGTAATGGCCCATGGAGTTCATCGCTCTCCTGACTACACTGAGGTACTTCCTGTGTGGACCATGGCAGCTATAATGCTACAGGAAGAAGCAGATGCCCAGCCTCTCCCAGGCATGCTTTTGCTGCCCTCTTCATTCCTGAAATTACAGTCTGTACTGATTCTTGTACTGTACTGAGCCTTGGTAGGCTGACTGCCCAACAAAGCGAAAGAGACACACTCACTGAGGTGAAAATCAAGCTTCCTTTGCGCATTATTTCGCATTGCGTTTCCCATGCATCCTTCAGAAGCGGGTGAAATCCTTACCTGCACAACACACATTCTGAAGAGGATCTGCAAGGTGAAGAGCAGGAGTAGGATGACAAAAGTCTTAGTGCATTGCACATGGAGACCCCTGTAACAGCTTCTGTTCTCCTCCCTGCCCTGGTCCAGCCAGCTTGTCCTGCACTGGACAAGGTCCGAAGATTTTAAGCTGCATGTCTTCAGGGCATGAGAAAGAACCCCAAACACTTTCAGCGGGGAGCAACCTGAGAGAATGGGAGATAGTAGGTATTAGACAAAGAATGTTCCTTTGGTTTTCCCTGTGTCAAGCAGATAGGTGACAGGTGTAGCCAAATGACTGAGAAGATATCAGGGCCCAGGGGGTTGAATTCAAAGAAACAGCTTCTGACCAGGGTCCTGGCATCCTTGTGACCAGCCCAAGGTGGTGCCTGACAGCTGATGTGAAAAATGAAAAGGCTAAGATCAGTGGGAACATGTTAGAAAGGAAAGAAAAGGGACCCAGAGCAAAAGATTTTTTTTTCTCTCAGAAGTCTTTAACTTTAACTCATTAATAAATAAGGCAACCTGAACTTCCCTTTATAGCCTTAGCACCAGGAACTACTTTTAATGTAACTGTTTGCATAAATAATTCTCATTCTCCTTGTCGGAGAGATGGTTGTTTCTTATTCTGACACAGAGATCAAGGGAAATGTATTCTCTGTTTTGACTCTTGTGTTCCATTTCAGATATGAGGCTAAACTTTAAGCCCTTCAAAGATTTTATCCATGTTGATAACATTTCTGAAAGTTCAGATCGGACAAGGTTGGCTTTTGATTTTTCCAGAAGTCTTTTTTTGGCTTGGATGGGGCTTATGTTAGTGTTTGAAGCTTTTTGCAACTTCAGAGGTTAGTAGTCATTTATTGCTCATATTTGTAACCTCATTGTTGCTTCCTTTATGATCTTTTAGCTTCCACTTTTTTTTTGGTGGATAGGCCCTAAGAAGAACTCCTGATGAAATAACAAATAAGAGGGACTGGAGATGGGACAGAGAGTTAGATGCTTGCCTTTCATGCAACTGAACCAGTTCTATCCCAAGCACTCCATATAGTCTCCTGAGCAGTACCAAGAGTGAGCTCCGATCACCAAGAATAAGCCCTGAGAATCATCAGATGGACCCTTCTACCAATGATAAATAAGATAGCCCCAACTAGTTAGTTGGGGACAGATCATGTATTACGATTATTCAGATACCCCCTTTAACTGGATAAAGCCTTCTACAAGTTACACAGCCACTAAATCATGGTTGCAAGGATAAATGGTATAATAAATGTGAAAATGACTGTGTATCTCCAAAGAAGGCTTCTAGAGAAACTCAAAGTATAGTTTGATTGTCATTTTGATTATGCTCAAATTTCCTATAATGAAATTTTAGAATAAATGCACTCTAACCAAATTCATTTAAATGCTAGAGAGCATTGGCTTTGTGTTTAAAGAATATGTATTAATTTTTCTTTTTATGGTTATAGAGTGATTATATTGATTTGATTGGGTCTTTACTTTAAGAGTTCTAATAGACCTATTATGTCAAACTTTGATTAATTGAAGAAGCTTGGGGCCTGGTAATTGGATATGGAGCCTTTCACCTCGAAGTCGCTGAATCAAATCCAGTTCAAATTGGTAATGACCAAGAATGATTATAGTAGTGGCACTTTGTTGGCCTCTGTGAAGTGTGTTTAGTCCAAGTGGGAGGATGTCGTGCTCACTGCTGGCTGGATCTGGCCTAATAGCTGAGTTCCTGTGACCTCTGAATCACTGCATGAGATACAGTGAGAGGCAAGGGATTGGGAAGATCAGGGAAAGAAACACCTGTGAGGAAGGATGTTTGTGTCCCTTAGGAAAAGGAATAGGGTCATATCTTCATCATTGCAGGCAGAACTGCTCTATCATGAGGCAATCCTGGTTAGCATTGTGAATAGTTTATTTAACTTATAGTTAGCTGTAAAATGAGAATAAGAAAGTTTAGAGGCTGAATTTTTTTCTTTTGTGGGGCCCACACCTCAGGGGCTATTCCTATCCCTGTCAGATTCATAGATTGCATGGTATTTGGGAATCAAATTCTGGGGTTCCCATATATGAAGTATTCTGGCCCTTTGAATCATTTACTTAGATCTAGAGACGGAATTTGAACATGTCTTGGCTAGGAGACTTCACCTCTTATCCCTATTGCTTATCAACTATACTCTGTTTAACTCTTTAAAAATTTTCTTTTTTAGGCAGCTCAGATAGAGAAGGGAGCACCAAATAAAAGGTGTTGGGAGGTTCCTCTCAGGATGGGAGATGAGTGACGAGAATAGACTATAGACCGAACATGACTGACACTCAATGTCTCTTTTGCAAACCACAGCACTCCGAAGGAGAGAGATAACAAAAGGGAATGTCCTACCACAGAGGTAGGGTAGCATGGTGAGGATGGGGGTTGGGAGGGATACTGGGATCAGTGGTGGTGGAAAATGGGCACTGGTGGAGGGATGAGTATTCGCTCACTGTATAACTGAAACCCAAGCACAAAAATTTGCAAGTCTACGACTGTACCTCATGGTGTTTCACTAATAAAAATTTAAGGAAAAATTTTTTTTCTTTTTTTAGGGGCCATGCCTGGCAATCCTCAGGGTTTTCTCCTTATTCTGTACTCAGGGGCCACTTCTGGAGTGCTTGAAGTTTTATGTGTGTTGCCAGGGGTCGAACCTGGTTCAGCAGCTCGAAAGGCAAACTCCTGACAAGCTAGTCTATCTCCCTAGTTCCATTATTCAACTCTTGCGAAATAAATTCTGTGGGAGAGCAGGGTTATTACTGACACTGATCCAACTTATTCTGTGATTTCAAATAGGCTTCATTATAAAATGATAGCTATTTGTAGAATAAAAGACTATTTCAAGGATATTTTTTCCAATTTCCCTTTCCAATTATTTAAATCTGGGGACTTTTGTTGAATATAGTGGTTCCAACTTACTATTTTCATTTTGTATACACAAATCACTATTTTTTGCAGGATAAATTTGGATCTTCTCTTAATGCATGCTAAATTGACACCTACTGTCTTATTAGACAGTTAAATATCTCTGCCACCCAATTTCTAAAGAGGCTTAGGCTAGATTATTCTTAAACTATGGTGAAAGATCGATTAAAATTTTCCTCACTATCATATAAATACTTTTCCGAAACAATAAAAATGAAATACTCAAGGTATTAATTTTTTAAAAAGATTAATAGGTCCTAATATTTAAAATATTAGATTCAACAGAACTAACACATACATTTTCATAAATATTCCTACATGTATTCACTCACTATTTATAACTATTTATTATGTGCACGCAAGTCACAAACAGTTCATTGGCCACCCTTAACCCATAAGCCAGACTTTGAGAGGAACTTGCTTCCACTGAATACATATTACAAACAGAGAATTTAAATAAGAATATAAATAAGTAAAATTGCATTTTGAGGTGCTATGAAGCAACAAAAACAAAACAGCTCAGACAAGAAATTATTAAGCATGGGTGAGATCTGAAACTTGAGCTAACTGAAAATGCATATAATTGATACCCAACAAATGTGAATAAAACCACTCTTTCATTCACCAGATCTATTAAGCTGAGACATGCTTCAGAGACTTTTCCAGACCCAGAGAATGTAGCAGCGAACAGGATCTACAAATCCCTGAGTTTTCTTTCACTTGGGGGAAGATGCTATACAAGCAGGAAATTATTAGTCAAGTTCAATAATGAAGAGAAAACGGAGGTCTAATATGGAAATCCCTCATGGGGTAGCCTGCAGAACAAACATAAAACATTGAAATTTGAACTAAGGATAGACTGGCGGAAAGCAGACCTGAAAGAGGCACCTCCCAGGTATGACCAGAGATGGGCATAAGCCAGGAGAGGTTGAGGAACAGCCTATGAGACAGTACCTCAATTAATGAGATTAGAATAATATGAGGTTTCACAGGTGGTCAGACTACGGAGCACAAAGAAAGGAATTTGAAGTTTCTCCTCAGTATTGTGGAAAACCATTAAGAAGGTTTTCACAGAATAGGGATAACCTGTCATGTGTATTTTCCCAAAATTTCCTCTGGAACTCTGGTAATGGTGTGGAAAATAGATTTTAGGGAGTAAGAGAGGAAACTTGGGGAGGATGACAAGGGCATAGTAGCTGGACACATCAGTAATGGTGGAGTAGAATGGAGTATGTTTTAAATAACCGATGTGATTTTTTTTGATGAAAGGTCAAAGAAATGATAATTAAAAAATTAAATCACTGTGAGATACACAGTTACAAAGTTATGCATGATTGGGTTTCAGTCATACAATGTTCCAACACCCATCCCTTCACCAGTGTCCATTTCCCACCATGAATGTCCTCAGTTCCCCTCCTTCCACCACTCACCCTCAGTTTGACTCTATGACATGCACTTTTCTTCTCTCTCTCTCTCTCTCTTTCTCTTTCTTGCTATCTCTCAAATTGAGAAGACTTGATGACTAAAATTTCCTGTTAAACAACATGAGTGCTGAAGACTTGCAGTGCAATGAACAGACAGACAGAATGGCAGACAGACAGGCAGACAGAGTTAAGTTTTGATCAGGTGAAGTCTGAGACTATTATTTTGTAATTTGGTCTTTTTGGAAGATAATACATTGAGTAAAGTTGGCCAGAAGACAAAGGACAAACAAAAGAAGATCTCATTTTTCTGTAGAACATAGACTACTAGATGAGGAAATGCACTGTCGTATAAAGGGAATGCTTGGATCACTCTCGACCCCAGTGTTTAGAGAGGAAAAAGAAAGAGAAGAGAAACAAAGAAATCTAGTGGGGGGTTGGGGGGTGGGGAAGAGAATGGGAAGTAATGGGTGAGCAGGAATCAGGAATTTGGTTATACTGGTGCTATGGGAAAGTGGTAAATCCATATATCCAAAACACAGATTCAATACACTGAAAACATGAAATCTAAGCCATAAGCACTAAAAGTTTGTAATGTACCTGTCAAGGTGACAGGTGAGGATGAGGAAGGAGGAAGGGAGGGAATACGGGAACACTGGTGGAGAGAAATTGACACCTGTGATGGGATTGGTGTTGAAATATTATATACCTTAAACTCAATTATCAAAAACCTTGTAAATCACAATTCTTTAATTAAAAATTTTTAATGTAGAATAATGAGATGGATTATATGACTAGATTATAAAGAGCATGCCTTGCATCAAACATT